AAACAAAAAGCAAACACAACCCAAGAGAAGGCATCTTCAAAATAAGTTAACTTTTATATGAACAGGCCTATAAGGACAAATCGCATATTGTGGATAGTCAGATAAGTATAATTAGCTATTATATTTTTTTACAGCCAATGTAAAAAGGACTAATATTCACTCTCAACTTTAACAGTAAAAAATTATTACAGAGATGTTATAAACTTAAAAAAGCAACAAATAGTCTGGTAGCACTTTAAAGACTAACAAAACATGTAGATGGTATCATGAACTTTCGTGGACACAGCCTACTTCTTCAGATGACCAGAGTGTTGGGTATCAAGAAAAAATGTTATAGTTATCCACAAACCAAACATTACAAAATCCAAATATTCAATCTAATTTACACTTAAAATAAATCCACGCTCTTACCACCCACTAAGGTATTAAAGCATTTTACTGTTTGTAGACTGAGATTAAAGTAATACATCCTTAAAAATCAGTGGTAGGGTTTGTCCCTTCAGTTGTTTTCCCTTTCAGTTGCATCACTGAACTGGATTGTCTACAGAAGACGCCTCTATTAATGAGTGATCTTGCAAGGGAACCATCACTGTCATCTAAACATATTCAACCCCACGCCAAGCCTTCCAGCAGCTCTTCAGTATCAGCTTAATTCCAGAACAGACTCTTTTCAACTTCAACATCCCAAAAGTGGCAAAGAACTAGCAGTCAATGATTGGGTCATTACAGTAACTGAATGGCGAAGAGTTTAATCAGGTAAGAAAGTTGCAATCCTTCTTTAAACACTAACAACATCTTCTGTTTAATACAAATAAGCAATTAAAAATTATTGAAACAATTCAACCTGGATATATTCTTCCTAAACTTCTAACATACTAATATTCAAACTATTCAAATCTTGTTGAGAAAGGAGTAACATTTAGCATAATTTTAAACACATTGTACAAGCTCAACACTTTTTCTACAAACAGTCAATGAAAAAGGAGGACTGATACTGTATTTGCCATAAATGTGTTGAAATATGCATTGATCACAGAATAGTCCTTGATCTGAAGATAGGATTAGTTTTACCCAAGGATAGAACTCTGTAGAGAAAGACCCAATTTACAAAAGTAATTTGAAAGTGGCTTTTTGCAATTTCATGTGCCTGACAAATTACAGGCTGAAGACACTTCTGTTGCAATTTCAATGAAAATATGTCTTGATTTAATTAACAAAACACTGGAACCACACAAAACACTCCAGATATATGATTGAGCCAGCAGAACTGATTTAAAAAATAACTGTCATAGCATGAGCTCATGTGAAGATCCTTGTATGAGGAAGAATGAGCTTAATCCTAGCTGATGAAACTAACATGAGTTTCTTCATTCTCTACCTTTTAACATCAACAATTCAGATTTGTATCCCAAATATATATATTTGCAAAGGGTTTTTTTTCCCCAATAGTTCATTATGTCCGAGTGTTGACAGTTTGTAGAAGCCAGGATATATTGATTTCCCAATTTTATACAATTCTGAACACTGCATTCCTTCTAGCTGGCTCAGCAAGAATGAAACATGTTTGTGCACACTCATATTGCTTTGGTTTAAAAATCTGTACTAAGGTTAGGTATTACAAAAGCAAGTAACTCGGTAAAAGTTACTGAACTATCTAAGGGCAGGGTGAAGATTGGTAAACCTACCCATCAAAATGAGGAACTGTATTTTTACATTTTAATGAACAGAAAGGCAAGCATTTAATTTGGAAAGTATGTACCTCTTTAGGTTTGAAAAATACGCACACAAGTTGAATCACACAATGTCTTTTTCTTAAAAAAACACTGTCTTTGTGCATTTGGGAGAGATGGGAGCCTGTTTCATTGAGCTTTTTCACAAGTTGAGGGGAGGGACTGGGGAGAAAAGAAATCACAATACTGAATTTTACACTTTTTGTACATTTTGGTGTGGAGAGGGATCAGTCCTCATCATATAGAATGCATGAGATAATGGTGAGGAACTGAGCAAAGTTCCTAATAAAATTTCACAATTTGTGTATGGTTTAGCAATAATCCCTATATAAACATTACTTTAACATAGGTTATTTGTCTAAATATTATAGAAATATATTGTGCAAGCCTTCTCAGTGAAGCAAGGTATTTTGCTCTAAAACATACTATGGCAGAACTTATTTAAAGTAACTTGACACTTTTAACTCATGTAATATACTAGACCAAAAAAAAGTATTCAATTTTGTTACATAAAAAGAATTACCCAAAAACTCAGTGCCTAAAGGGGGACAAAAGTATCATGATGCGCCAAAGCAATTTCCTGTAAAAGAGGAAATTAAAGACTGTGGAGATGCTGAGTTCTGTATCCTTGATTTTTGCTGAATGGATTTCTTAGTTATTAACTGATGAAAGATAACACACTGACGGTATTAAAAACAAAACCTATATTGATTCAATCCACCCTTCGCTGTGTTTGTGTAGAAGAGGTGTGAAAAGTTTAACCAAGTCTCAAGTCATTTCAATGATTTATTTTACATACTGAAGTCTTTGTGTATCAATTCAAGTATTTGCTTTGGACAGTACCATCATCATTAATAATACAGTGGTAAGTTTCTCCAAAGTAGGAGGGGGAAAATGTTTCCCTTTGCCTACTCACTATCAACAATGGGCTCGAGATGACGAACAGTACACTCTTCTCTGGAGAAATCAGATTTTTCCATTGCCTTTCATTACCCACTCAAAACAAAATTTAAATGACTTGGAAACAGCCATTAGCTATGCACAATTTTCTACTAATTTTCCCATATCACCCACAAAACTAAGTTTGTGTGTCCCTAAATAAGATTTAAACAAACACACCAAATTGGTTTTGAGGTTTATTTTATAATATAATATGTACAATAGTTGTGAAATAACAATGAATATATTGGATCAGTTATGTTAAATACCGCAAGACTTAAAGTCAGACAGCATGGCATGGTATAAACTCACACTCCCTTTTTCATATACAAAGAATGTTTTATTGAGATCATTGTGACTACTATATCCAAGTAGTTTTGTATCTGCTTTTACGTGTCCCAAAGAGTCTGGCATAGAAACAGTTTAAATAGGAGTCTACTGATCAGTTAATATACTATTAGAAAAGATGATAAACATTATTGGTAAAGATAAACTTTGCAAGAAATTAATTGTAAAATTACACCAGGCGCAGAACTGATCATACCTACAAGAAGTAGTGGTTATTTAGAAAACAGTTTTCAAAAAGAGCTCAGCTTGAGTTTATTAATTTGGTCAAATTGACTTGTATGAACAGTCAAGTTTATTCAAATATTGAAAATATGCTATCCTTTTAGTATTCACAAATAATTGCTTATGTATACAGGGTTTATATGTGTATGCATGTAAGGGAAGAGATGTTAAATGTAAAAAATATACTGTTCATCCGTTCCTAAATTACACAAAAAAAATCAGTATCTGGACATGAAACTGTGCAAGTCAAAAACGTCCATTTCAAATCTACATTCAAACAGCAACAAATATTTTTGTAAACATTTGAGAAGGAAAACCCCTGTTCATTTACAAAACATTCCTCTTCTGGAAATGGAAATGTCCCTCTTCCATGGAAATGATGTACAGGTTGCCTATGCTGAATCTGATCAAACCTAAGAATCACCAAAGCTTAAAATTATAAAAGTCAAAACTCAGCAGATGCATCATTTCCAAATCATTCACCTTTTAACTATTAGCCATTTCCAGTTCATCACCAAAAAAAGAAATGCACTTTGCTACAAAAATAGTAAGGAATGTTATTGAAAACAAAAGGCTATTGTGGTAGAAGTTACTACAAAAATAAGTAGGTCAGGTTATGTTGTAAAGCTTTAATGCAGGAGCATTACAGTACAGAATTTCTTTCCAAAACCTTAAAGCTTAATCAAACACCAAATTCTAAACATCCACCCCTCAAGTGCTTGAAAAAAGAGCTGCAATAAAGAGTCTCTTCAAGAATTTAACCAGAAGTAATTATGTAGGTGTCAATCTATGGGCACTGTGTGTGTCAGCCATCTGTTGTGAGTTATCTCTTGTTCCATTGGCAGCAGTTACAGGCATAGAGATATTTTGATATGTTGATGCAGAAGGACTCATCACAGTAACACTTTCATCTTCTCTAGTGTCTGAATCTGGGGTTGTCACAGCACTGTTCTCCATCCCTAGGACCTCACAAACTGCTTGAGGCAATTCCTATGAAGAGGAAACATTTATCATTGTATATCTTATTCTACTAAACATATTAAATAGAAGAGAGTTAATTGGAACACATTAACAAACATATTACTCTTAAATTCCTGAAAGCATTTATAAGAATAAAGTCTAATCTGTAGTGAAAATATGTTTAATATTAATATTGCATAAAGATTGATTATTTTCAAGAAAATGTCCAGCTGCTATCTTTGCTGCCTGAAAAAATAAACTGTATTCATGTAATTATTATCTGATTAACAATGTTATTCATCTGTCCTATGAAACCAAATGAAGTCTATGTGCTTTTTGTCCAATAGGCAGTAGTGTAACTCCGACTCCCCCCTCAACTTCCCACATATCAAACATGAACTCACCTGTATATCAGCTAATCTGATCTGAACACATCAAAATAACCTATCCAAGAGCAAAATTCCAGCTTTCTTCACACAGTAATATACTTCTGATACCAAATGTTCAACTCTGACTATAGAGGTATATGAGGCTTTTGTAAAATATCTAATCAAAGGCTGACTACATATTCCCATCACATCTAAAAACTGAACTATTTCAAAAGGAATTATTTCAAGAGCTCTATATTTATTTTATTATGGACAACTATGTATTTTTTACTGTATCAAATACTCATATAACTTTAAAATAACTTTACCTTGCAATTCATCATCTGCACAGAAATTGCTTCCGCTTTACAGAGTATATCTTCCACATCAATTTTCATAGACAGTTCATTGATGTGCTAAAAATATGTTTATAAAAAACAGAAATGGCAAATAGCAGATTAGAAAAAAATACGCTGTTGTGTTAAAATAATATTCTCCTCTGTTGTAAATGCCACATTGAGATTAAGGCTTCAAACTTGAAAAAAAAGCTTAAATCGCTTCACATCCATTGATAAATGGGAACTGAATGTGCTCAGCATCTCAAAGCAACTGGTCAGCATTTATAGGATTCTTAAGATGAGTCCTTATCAATGTTCCTTGCTGTAGTGTAATATACAAACGCATCTCACATCAGGCAATTCCTAATTCCAAGAGCTCAAGAGGTAACACTACATACATTTAGAGAAGATGAAGTAACAATGATTTAGATTTATGCAATTTACTAAGTGGTTCAAAGAGAGTTAAATACTAATATTCTATCTACTAAAGTGAAAATATTGACACTTATTAACCCAAGTGTTTAACCTTTAACAGGTGGGAAATGACTGGTCCATGATTACAATTATTGGGTTACCTTGCCCCTTAAAGAATTCTGGAATGAATTAACTATAACCACTCAGGAGGACACACACTATACATTCATGTCCTTTTTTTTCCAAATGTAAAACCAGAAAAGAATCCATTCGAAGGATTAATTTACACTTAAAATTAAGAACCGTATCAGATACCTTTAGTATTTCATTAAAACCATAATGCTTGTCCATTATTTGCTGCTTTTCAGATTCCAGGATAGCACAACAGATGAGAAGATGAAAATTCTGGCAAGGCAACTCTGTCCACATTACCTGTTAAAGTATTAAAACTGCTTTTGAAATTGGAAATGAAAATTGATGGCTTTCTTCTGAAGACCAAAAAAAGACAATGAAGTACAACTTTATACACTGAGGGTACATCTACACTACAAGGCTATTTCAAAATAAGTTATTCCAGAATAACTCTTAAAGTAACTATTTTGAAATAGAACGTCCACACTACAGGGAAGCCTCAAAATTAGTCCAAGGCAAACTCCCCTAATGTGGATGGGATGCACTACCTCAATTTGGAAGCACTGGGGAGTAATTACTTTGAATAGCCTTGAGGAGGAGCTATTTCGAAATAGCAGCAATGGAGCATCCACATTACTGCTATTTTGAAATAGTAACTCTGAAATGAAGCCAGTGGAGGTGGAGGGGAAACAGCATTTGGAAAAAAAGACTAAAAAAGGGGTGGGAGGTACAGCCCTGCAGCAGTGCTGCCTTTGAAGTTGGAGAGTGGTGGCCCCTGACCAGGCACCCAGCTCTGAAGAAAGTAGCACCAACAGCAGCAGCATAGAAGGGTGGCAATGCCATGTCATCTGTAGGGCTCTATACCCTATTTTTTTTGTTTTGTTTTATTCTCCCTACCCTTTTCGCTAGCTTTGTACTCTGGAGTGCTGCCCTGCCCTGGTTATGGCCTTGTAGTTATACCAAATTAGTTATTTTAAAAAATTGAAGGTGTAATGGTTGATTGTATATATTGTTTCAACAAATTTTTCTTAAAGCCACAGTACATATGTTTGCTTTCCTAATTACTACTATTTAAAAAGGTCCATTATTACTTTTCCAAAATTTTGCATGTCCCCTCCATACCTGTCTGAGAGACTCACTGCTTTGTCCTCAAAAAGAAGCAGCTGCTGTACTGAGGGAGAAGTGCCCATCCCCAAGCCAGGCAGCTCTGAGTCCCTGAAGCTCTGAGTCCCTGGCTGGCGGGGCTTATTAAGCAGCTGTGGGGTCATGCTACCACACAGCTTAGTGGGAACCCTAGCCACAGGACTACTTATTGTTTTTCCAGGGAAGTGCATGGCAGTAATGTTACATACCACCAGATGGAAAAGGAAGTGAAAATCACCAACAAAAATTGATCATACACAAATACTATCAAAATGCAGAACCTCAAAAAATTGGAGAACAAGACTTCCCCCAGCACCACCTTATGCCTTTTCAGACACAATCATAGTAGGGGGTTACGTGTGCCCACTGCTATCCCACTGAATATGAAATCTGTAATAAGTTATACGACAAAAGTCCCAATTCACCATCATTCAAGTCTTATGTTGTTTGTGTTGCACTAGCTTAAAACTGGTTGAACACACTAACAAAGAAAGCCCTTGCATATTTTTAGCATATATTGCATATACCCCATGACAACAGTCCAACTTGCTAAATCACAATTCTGTCTGAAAATATTGGATTTACTGTAGACAAGTAACCCTTACTTTTACTGTATCTGAAAGAGGTTTGACTTAAGAAATTGGGTATTTTTTCTGTTTACATTGTACATTTGACAGCACTCTATTTTTGTATTGGTAGAATGACTTGGGTATAAAATTGGAGTGATGTAGTGGTGAATCAGACCCTAACTTTCTAAAAGAATGGCATTAATCTTCAGATGGAGGAAATGTTGGCATAAACGCCACAATTTGATTAGATGTTAAATGGGTTTTTTGAACATTTTTAAAAGCCAACAAAGCATGTGATTTGTAGTATCACTTCTCCTGGCAATGAAACTGAAAAATAATGTTTGTATTCCATTTTTTAAGATGCACTCAGGAGAACCAGCACATTTTAGTAGGATTCTACAAACACCTTTGATATCTTTATTCATTAGTTGAAAGGGGTAAGAATAGCAAAAAACAATCACTACAGAAAATTAAATTGCATACACACACACACACACACACACACACACACACACACACACACACACACACACACACACAGTTAAATGGGATTTTATATCCCTAATCTAAATATTTAGTGTATGTGTCTGTGTGTAAAAATGTGAAGTTTAACCAATTAAGGGACTGAAGCACCTCCCCACCCGCCCGGGCTGGATTGGCTCCGCTGCACCAACCCGGACAGAGCATTTTTACAGTGTAAATTTAAAAAGTCTTCTTATAGGTAAGAAAGGCACAATTTATCTACAAAAACTGTACTAGTATGTCCCCACTGTGTCATCACCGGTCTTTTTTTGAAATCAACCACCTTCCAAAGACAAGTGGAATTAAATTTAGATTAAGTATCTAATTGTTTTCTTACCTCCCATAATCGAAGAATATCTTGAAAGCTAAATTCTCTTTTAAATCGGATCAGAAGCCATCGGAAGCAAAAATAAAGGTATCCCGAGTCTTGAGATTCTAACAAAAGAATGACACATTTCTTCCGAATATAAAACAAAGGAAATATGCATTTTATAGGGCTGTTATCCTGCCATTAATTTATTAAAACTAAGTCTCCATTAAACTTAGTGGGAAGTTCTGCTTAAATATCAATTACATGACACAGCAATTTTGCTATTCATGAAAACCAATTAAAATCTGTTAAATGTTTTTAATTTGAATATTTATTGTTCATGTAGGACAACAGCATACATAATGACACATTAAAGATTTTGCACTCTAGGGCACAAAGAAATACAACAGTAAGTTTCTTTTCTTTCAAAGACATTGTACTATGGCCAAATTACAAGAATAAAGCAGTCCTGCATTAAAAATATAACAGATTTATGTTGGTAAAGTGTTTAAAGGACTTTAGAATGTCTAGGCATATACTACTCTAAAAACAACAAGTTGTTTGAGATGTTATACATACCTAAGTAACTGCAAAACCCACTGTCTAGCAAGCGAAGCAAAGTACTCAGTTGAATTAATTGTGTCTTCATACCCTGCATTTGTTCCTCAAAATTCTCATGCTTGATGGGAAATAAATATTAGCACTCTGTCAGGTATTGATACTGATAAATAGTACACTAGATTAAAAATGGTTATAATTCACAAAAAAACTATAAGTTTACACATAAGTTAGAATAATTGCTCTAATAACAGAAGGTTACTGTTAACTATTTCATACAGTAAGGCTACGTCTACACTGGCCCCTTCTTCGGAAGGGGCATGCTAATTTTGAACTTGGGAATAGGGAAATCCGCAGGGGATTTAAATATCCCCCGCGGGATTTAAATAAACATGGCCACCGCTTTTTTCCCGGCTTGGGGAAAAGCCGGAAAAAAGCATCTAGACTGGCGCGATCCTCCGGAATAAAGCCCTTTTCCGGAGGATCTCTTATTCTTTCAAGTAGGAATAAGAGATCCTCCGGAAAAGGGCTTTATTCCGGAGGATCGCGCCAGTCTAGACGCTTTTTTCCGGCTTTTCCCCAAGCCGGAAAAACAGCAGCGGCCATGTTTATTTAAATCCCCCACGGATTTCCCTATTCCCAAGTTCAAAATTAGCATGCCCCTTCCGAAGAAGGGGCCAGTGTAGACGTAGCCTAAGTGTTTAAAAGAACAGAGCCAAGGTCTGGTAAATTTTTGCCCTCAATTGGAAGCTTAAGCAATAAATAAGCTGTCTCTCTGGCTCAGGGATATTTGTACTTAATCTTCCACAGACATACTTACTCTGCAACTTGGATACAAGATTTACAGCGAATAAATTCCTCTGTCTCCAAATAGGAGCTAGAGAGTTTAAGGCAGAAATCATCATTTTAATAATTTTCTATACCCCGTCAGAGGACAATTGAGGGCATTTTATGCTAAACCATTGTGTTCATTTCACAACATTCCATATGCAAAGTTGTTCTTGGAAAAGAGCATTTGCTTAAATGAACAACACTATAATTTGGGGGAAAAAAAAGTATATTACCCCTACAAGAGCTCAGGCATACACAAATTCATTTTTCCAGTGTATCATACAGGCAGTATTTCATATATGTTGTAACAGTCATACTTTATGGACTAGACTCACTGTTGTGCCCAATCCAGCAGGACAGAAAAGGACTTTACTCATCTTGTGCACTAATATGGTTCTTTGAGAACCCTAACCCTATGCAAGTTCCACTGTAAAGATGTTTGCATGTCTGCACTTCTAATCATTGAGTTCTGGTAAGTGTCTGTTCGGCTCATCCATGCACTGTGCCACCCTCTCTTATGCTCTGTCATAAGGCTAATCAGTGTTGTGCAGGTGAACCATCCTCAGTTTCTCTTCTAACGCAGAATCAAAGATGAGCACTCCAAAGCAGAGAGGAGGCGAATAGGTAGTGGAGCACCCATAGGAACACACGTCAAAGAATCATAATTACTGAACAAGGCACACTTCTTTTTCCCTTTGAATAGTGTCCCTACAGGTGACTGCTTCCTTCACCAAACTCCCTCCGAGACCCCACTCTCCCTCCTGCACCCCAATCTCTTACCCCAAGCTCCATTCTGCACCCAACCTCCATTCCAGACCCCACATCCCTCATTAAGATCATGGAAGAGTGCAGCCCTCAACCACTTTCCAAACTCTTGGAGTGGCCTCCCATCAACAATTTAGATATTGGCATAGAAAGTACGCTTATTAAGTTTGCAGATTATACCAAGCTGGGAGGGGTTGCGACTAATCTGCAAGATAGGGTCATAATTCAAAATGATCTGGACAAATTGGAGAAATGGTCTGATGTAAACAGGATGAAGTTTAATAACGACAAATGTAAAGTGCTCCACTTAGGAAGGAACAATCAGTTTCACACATACAGAATGGGAAGCGACTGTCTAGGAAGGAGTACGGCAGAAAGGGATCTAGGGGTTATAGTGGACCAGGGTTATAGTGGACCACAAGTTAAATATGAGTCAGCAGTGTGATGCTGTTGCAAAGAAAGCAAACATGATTCTGGGATGTATTAACAGGTGAGTTATGAGCAAGATACGAGAAGTTATATTCCGCTCTACTCTGTGCTGGATAGGCCTCACTTGGAATATTGAGTCCAGTTCTGGGCACCACATTTCAAGAAAGATGTGGAAAAATTGGATAGGGTCCAAAGAAAAGCAAAGAGAATAATTAAAGGTCTAAAGAACATGACCTATGAGGGAAGGCTGAAAGAATTGGGTTTGTTTAGTTTAGAAAAGAGAAGACAGAGGGAACATGATAGTCGTTTTCAGGTATCTAAAAGGGTGTCATAAGGAGGAGGAAGAAAACTTGTTCATCTTTGCCTCTGAGGATAGAACAAGCAGCAATGGGCTTAAACTGAAGCAAGGGAGGTTTAGGTTGGACATTAGGAAAAAGTTCTTAACTGTCAAGGTAGTCAAACACTGGAATAAATTGCCCAGAGGTGGAATCCCCATCTCTGGAGATATTTAAAAGTAGGTTAGATAAATGTCTATCAGGGATGGTCTAGACAATATTTGGTCCTGCCACGGGGGCAGGCGACTGGACACGATGACCTCTCGAGGTCCCTTCCAGTCCTAGTATTCTATGATCAAAAATTATTGCCCACCGCTGCTGTGTTTGTTCATGTCCATTCCATTAGAGGTGACTCCCAAGCAGGACCACTGGAGGTAGGTAGGAGTTCATGGACATGCTGACTGCAACACACCTGTGGCCTGCTGGCTGACAGCACTATTACAGACATTCATGATGTATTAAGACCACATAGCAGCCCTGCATATGTCCTGAATTGGGACACGTGCAAGGAAGGCCACCAAGGATGCTTGTGCTCTGGTCAAGTGGACCTTCACAATAGGCAGCAGCAGGACCTGAGCCAGCTTGTAACCGGTACGGATGCAGGAGGTAATGCAGTGCAAGATCCTCTGAGTGGATGCCAGAAGGCCCTGCATTCTTTCCACTGTCACTACAAAGAGCTGAGTCAACCTGTGGAAAGGTGGAGTGTGCTTCAAATACAATGCCTGTGCATACCGAATATCTGAACTATGTAGCTACTTTCCATCACTGGATGAGTGTGGCTCTGGGTTGACATGCAAGGGGGACACCACCTTCAACAGGAAAGCCGGATGGGGTCACAGTTGGATCTCATCCTTGCAGAAGACCATATACAGAGGCTTTGACATGAGAGCTTTTATTTTGGGGAATTTCCTTACTTAGGTAATGGGACAGAAGAAAAGCAACTGTCCACAACAAATGAAACAGGAAGTATGAAGCCATAGGCTCAAATGACAGCATTGTGAGCCTAGTAAGGGTCAAGTTTGAGGACACACTGGAGAACCAGGTCCCTGGCCTCCAGTAAGAGTACTCCAGGCCCCTTTCAAGTTCCTTTCATTGCATGCGAAAATACCGATCAATCTTGAATGTGCAGATGAAAAGCTGATATGGCTGCCAAGAGTATCTTGATGAGGGAAAAGGCAAGGCCTTGTTCCTTTAGATGAAGCAGGTAGCCCAGGATGAACTGCAGCGATGACTGGGTCAGGTAAACATTACATTCTGATGCCCAGCAGAAGAATCATTTCCATTTTGCCACCTAAGTAACTCTAGAAACCTACTGCATCTGACTGTAACAGGTTAGTTCTTCTGTGTTCAGCCACATATCACCCAAACTGTGAGGTGAAAAGGGCGAGGTCCAGGTGCAAGAGCCAAGGTCTTCCAAGAGCAGATCTGGGCATTTGGACAGTGGCCACAGAGTGGCTGCAGCTAAGTCATGAGCATGCTGAACCAGTGCTAGCAAGGCCATGCTGAGGTGATCATGACGACTCATGCATTGTGTCTCGATTTTTGACAGGATTGTGCTCATGAGAGGGATCAGCCAGAATGCATACATCAGATCTCCCATCCCTGAAAGAAGAAAAGCATCCAAAAGGGAATCCTTGATGAGACCTTGAATGAGCAGAACTGGAGACATTTCTTGATCTGTGCCATAGAGAACACGCCCATGGGGGGGGGGGGGGGAGGGTTACATCAGAGTGGAGCTCTCAGTGATGGGGAGCGCATAAGAAGGCTATCTGCCAGTACATTTTAGAAGCCGGGAAGATGTACAACGTCCAGGTAAATATCATGTGGGGGACAAAAGTCCTACAAAGCGGATGGCTTCCTGACATACAGCTAATGAGCATACTTCCCCTTATCTGTTTACATCAAGGCTATATTGTCCATCAAGACCTGTACAACTTACTCAGATAACACAAAGACCCGCACAAGCTAGGTGGATGTCCTTGAGCTCTCTGATGTTTATGCATAGTGCATGCTCTTTCAGAGACCAACTTCCCCATGATCACAAAGTCCCAGGATGTGCCCCCAGTCAAGGTCTGAGGCATCCAACAACAGCAAGATCATAGGTCATGGACTTACAAATGGCACTGTCTCAGGCACCCACCTTGGGTTGATCCACCACTTTACAGGTAAGTATGCTCTGTGGGATCATGAGGACCTTGTCCAGGTGGCCAGCACAGATGAAGAGACTGCTTTTTGTGCTGTGTGTAATGGATCACATAAGTGAAAGCTGCCAAATGGCCCAGAAGTCTGAGGCAGACCTGGGCTGTTGTGAATAGGTGTGCCAAGAGGCTGGTGATGAGATGTGACAGTGTTGAACCTGCTGTGTGGCAGGGGAGG